TTTCTAACAATTTATAATAGCATAAATAAATTGAATAATTTTATAAATAACAGCGGAAGTTCAAAATAATCAAATTTGGGAAGTGTTACCGCCGCACTTGTACATGGACAAGTGCAAGGCTAACTCTATTACATTCAAATAAAAATCTAAGACTACAGTTTTTTTTTTTATACATAATATTTATGACAGCTAGAAATATCCGAGTCGTGATCCTCACTGCCCACAGCTAGCCCCATCCTTTGCAACATGCTTCACTGAAAATCTGCTCCCCCGCAGCCGCAGGATCATTGCAGTCAAACAAACACAAAAGTCAGCAAAGCTGGTAATCCCAATCAAAATACGATTAATGTAATTAATAACAAATTAAATCAAATATCAAATAGTGTTCAAATCGATTCCACATTAATCAAATCAAATATGAATATAATAATCAAAATTCCATTATATAATATTTATCTTTATTAAGTTCATTTGATGTATTTGGTAATTATCAACTAACATATTTAGCACAACATTAGTCATAATATGATAATATTCACAACTCAATGACATTCTTCATAATCAAATCAAATAACAAATTTCATTATTAATAATGTTTAAGTTCATTATATTTAGTGGGAAGAGAACCATGGTAGACCCGGGAAACCCTGACAGTCTACCCCGTGACCCGGGAAAAAATCACTGTTACCAGCCACGTATAATCAAAATTGGCCATAATCAATTCACATCTTCCTAGTGTGCACACCTCTTCCCAAAGTTGCTACTAGTATCCCGGGAAAAAACCACTGTTACCAGATACCACTTTGGGAAGAACGGATACAATCTTTTTCACATCGGAGGCATAAAGCCCAAAAGTTGTGTTCATCACTTTGGAAGGTACCATCCCAAAGCTATCCTCCCACCATTAATTTATTACAAACACACACAATCAGGAAAGATTCAATCATAATTATTTATTCTTTAAGTATTATCATCTCTAAATGAGTTACTAAAGGGCATTATAATTTTCCAAAGTATCATAATTCAAACAACTATTATCATAAATTCTCGAATTTATATAACAATTCAAATCTTCAACATTCATCATAGTAAAATCCAAATCCGATCATCATCATAACTTTCCAATTTATTTAAGGATATGATAATTCAAATCTTCAACATTCATAATAGTAAAATCCAAATCCGATCCTCATCATAACTTTCCAATTTATTCAAGGATATAATAATTCAAATCTTCAACATTCATCACCATAAAATCCAAATCTGATCCTCATCATAACTTTCCAATTTGTTCAAGGATATAATAATTCAAATCTTCAACATTCATCACAGTAAAATTCAAATCTGATCCTCATCATAACTTTCCAATTTATTCAAGGATATAATAATTCAAATCTTCAACATTAATCATAGAAAAATCCAAATTCAATCATCGTCATTCAAATAATCTCATCACATCAATTATCATAGTTGTTAATAATATAAATATTCAAATTCAATCATTAAAACACATATTTGGAAAGTTTTTCTTAAAGAGTATTATAATTCCATAATTTTCATAATTATTCAATAAGATCCATATATTGCACCTGAATTAAGTCTTATACCATACATTGCACATAATTATAATTTCTAAAATAATAACATTTTATATCATATATTGCACATAATCATAATTTCTAAAATAAAAGTTTATATCATATATTGCAAGCTGATTCGGAATTCTCTTTCATTCCAACTTGTATCCATATTCTAATTATCATATGTAGTAATTTAAATTTAAAAAAAACAAATACCTATATATATAGAAATGTTCATACCAAACTATTAAGAACATATACGGATTACATATAAGGATCATGCCCAAATTTCATATAATACAGATAACCTACAAACATCTAGGGATTAGGATTACTATTAATAAACTTCAAACAAAATTATAACCTAAGGATTAGGATTACACATACCAAATTTCACATAAAATAAATATAATCTAAAAATACCTAAGGATTAGGATTACCTAGTCTCCGTTTTTGCTAACTTCTAGAAGAGAATAAATTGGGGCAGAGAACCGGTTGGTAACCAAAAGAATATAGAAAATAAAACAAATAAACTTTTGAAGTAAGGAGAGAGAGTAGTAGACGAGAAATGTTGGAGAGTGAATTAGTTTGTTTAGGCTAGGCCTCTATTTATAGTTGAAGTTTTGGGCTCGGATATGGGTTTCGTGCATTTATTTCCTTTTTCTTTAGTGATTTATCTGACTCAGATATGGGCTTCATACACTATTTTATTATTAATTTCTTATGGCTCAGATTACAGCTAACTTATTTGCTAACTCAAGGCTGACTCATTATTGACTCATCATATCTAATCAAATTACCAATCAACATTACCAATCAATCATTACCAATCAAACATTATCAATCGAACATTATCAATTGAACATTATCAATCAATCATTATTAATCAAACATAAATGCTTAAATCATCAATCAATTAATAATCCAATTAATTACAATTTATCATCTAATATATATATATATATATATATATATATATTATATTTATATTTATATATATATGTGTACATATTAATATTATGTTATTATAAATAATTTAGAGTATTACAAAGTATCAAAATTATTTTCCAATAGCATTCATATCGCACAAAATAATTTTATCAAAAATAAAATTAATATTCTACTTTGTTATCTATCACCATAATATTTATTTATATATATCTATATTATTATTACTACTAATTTATAGTTTATTATTATTATTATTTTATTAATAAAAATATGGGGTATTACATTCTGCCCTCCTTAAAAGATGTTTCGTCCTCGAAACTTAAAAGTTTGAGCTTCTCAATTAAACTAAAAGCATAAGGTTAAAGTTAATAAAAATATGGGATATTACAGCATGCATGTTATTTTTTTTACTATTGTAAAATTTAATGCTCACAAATAAAATTTATATCTCGTGTAAAAAAATGCAAAAATTTATGAACATGTTAATGACTTGTAATGTCAAACGAATATTTTAAAAATTGTTAAAAATATACTAGGGAGGCCTACAAGGTCTGTAGGCCATATAAGACTCTCTAATTTTTAAAAATAGGTCAGATTTGGCCTATAAATAGTCTTTAGTAAGCCAATAAGCCAGATAGACTGAATATTTTTTTACGTAGACTTAGACCAAAAAGGCCAAAGCCCAGCCCAACCTGATCTATTTACCCCGCTACATGTGAGCAGTTTTCATCTTTCAGGATCTAATACAGAGCCCATATCTTCAATTTGACTATTGATCAGGGTTTAGGTGGATCTTTTTTATTATTAATTATTATCATTACTGAAAATCCTCTCTCTTCAAAGTACTTGTCAACCTCAATTATCACACAGGAACTTAAACGCATTGAATTTTTTATGGTCCATCCCCAAATTAAACAAACCACTGTTCGATTATTCATTACTTTCCTTTTTTGGGAAAAAAATTTTTCTTTATATATTGGGTTCATTCGAATATTTATTGTTTTTGGGTGATACATAATATATTTATTTTTCTTGTTTTGATAATAAAGTGTAAATATTATTTTTCGGATAAATGTTAACTAAAATATTGCACTTTCTTCTTTATGGTTTCTCCAAATAATAATAATAATAATACATATATTATTAACAATTAGTACCTCCCTAAAAAATATTTGTAACAGTTAATTAACCACTCTTATTAGTCCTAATTAAGGGTGGCAAAACGTATCGCAGATCAAGTTTGTGTCGTATCAAGTTTGACTAATGAGTCGCAATGTCTAATACGTACAAGATATACTTTTGTTCGCGGGTCAAAAATTGAAACCTAGATACAACTTGCCACGAGTCGCAAGTAGACCCAATAAAATTGAAAAAAATCAAAAGAAAAAATTGGATAAAATACGCGGGTTAACTTGTGACCTACAATGAGGTATATGAAAATTACCAAATTTTCAATTTTTTTTTATTTTTTTGGATTAGAAAAAAATTGTGGATTAATATACAAGTCACATATGGTAAAATCGTGACACAACACAATACTAATTTGTGTCATTTATCCAAACCCAAACATGACCCATTTTATCTCATGAATTGACACGACCCGCATTTTGATGTGTCATACTCGCGAGTCATGACATACAGTGGCGGAACCAGGCCAAAGATTTAGCCCGTGCCAAGCTATCACAATTGTAAATTGTAGTTAGTGCCAAGCTGCAAATCTGAAGGCAATGTCTTGACCCATGCCAAGCTATCATCTCACTAGATAAGCTATCATGCCAAGTTAGCTGGTGCCTTAGCACTATCATAAAGCAACTTGGCTCCGCCACTGATGACACGTTTTGTGATCTTGAGTCTTAATAACACTTGTAACTTTAATATTTTTATTTCATCACCCATCACAGATCCGCCACTATTCCGGCAAAACAAAAAAAAAGCCAAAACAGATATGAGATTAATCCACAGTATATTTTTTCCTCTCTGTTTTTTAGGCATTCGCTTTTTTAATTTATTTTTCATAAATCTTTTCCATTCTTGTATGCTTGTGTGCCTATATTTCGTTTTATGTGTGCTTTCTCTCATTATAGTTTTTTATCTCTTATTTTTACGGTATATTTCTTTCTAACTATATGCCTGCCTTCAACTATTAACTTTCACATGCAAGCCTAAGTATTGGAGAATAAAGTGAGAGCTGCCACGTCAACAACAGTTAGTTAGCAGTGCTGTTATGATTGTCACGTCAGCTAAAGTCAGTTAGGAATATTGTTATTCTTTCTGATGAATGTAATCGTTATTCTTTCGCTTCTGCTTCTGGTTTTGTGCCTTTGTTTTCCATGTATAAATACTGGTGGTGTAATCCTTTGAGCAATGAAATAATATGAGGTATTCCATTTCCATTATGGTATCAGAGCTCCAAACTGGAGCTCTGGTATAGCAAAAGAGACACACGAGAGTTTTCTACTTTTCTTCATCATGGAGGATCAGAATCCTAATACAGAGTATACAGAGGAGGAAACTTCTGAGATTCATCAACATTCCAAATCACAACCTTCTGAATCACATCCAATTCAGTTACCTGATTTTCTGACCAATCCTTCTAATCAGTTTTTCTTGCATCCGAAAGAAACACCATCGGTGGTGTTAGTTTCACCGTTGTTGAATGCAAACAACTATCACACATGGGCCAGAGCAATGGCAGTGGCTCTCATCTCCAAAAACAAGATCGGATTCATCAATGGATCCATAACTCCACCGCTAGAAACAGATCTGAATTACTTCGCTTGGCAAAGGTGCAACAATATGGTAGTAGCTTGGATTCATAAGTCAACATCACAGTCTATTGTGCAATCGATCATTTGGATAGAAAATGCTCAAGATGTATGGCTGGATCTACAGAGAAGGTTCTCAAGATCAGATGTATTTCGTATTTCTGATCTTCAAGAGGAGATTTACAGATTACAGCAAGGAGAGAAGAATGTCACTGAGTTCTTTACAGAATTGAAAACGTTATGTGATGAACTCGATAATCTTAAACCACTTCCAGTATGTAAATACAACACACGTTGTTCTTGTGGAGGATATATGAAGATGCAAGAGTATCGAGAACGTGACCACATGATTCGGTTTTTGAAAGGTTTGAACGACCAATATTCACAAGTAAGGTCTCAAATCATGTTGATTGATCCATTACCTGATGTTACTCGGGTTTTTGCAATGATTGTTCAACAAGAACGTCAGTTTCAAGGAGAAATTCGCTCAACAAATCCTATTAAAGCTCAAGCTTTTGCAGATATTGATGAACGTAATATGAGTAAAAGATTTTTCAATGGTCGTGGCTCGTTTTCTGGATTTAGAGGAAGAGGTAGAAGTACAAATTACAATTACAGTGGACGCAATTCATCATCCAACACATATGGTGGCCGAGGCATAATCAACAGATTATGCACGCATTATGGGAGATCGAACTATACAGTAGACACATGTTTTCATATCCACGGTTTTCCACCACGTTTCAAAACTAGGAATGATGTTAATTCTATCACCAATAGTGCAGCTCAAGACACACGAAGTGAGCAATCTGGCCTTCCATTCTCTAATGATCAGTATCAACAGATTCTAAGTCTCTTGTAAAGAAATACAGCCATTTCCAGTTCAGTGCCACATGCAACAAATTTTTCACAACTGTCAAACATGAGTACCAACCTTATGCAACAACCAGGTATTTCGAATGTGAAATGGATACTGGATACCGGTGCTACTGATCATGTTACATTACAGTCTCATTTGTTACAATTGCAGAGAATTAAGCCCATTAGAATTAATTTACCTAATGGTGATTGTGCTATTGCAACACATTGTGGAAACATTTACTTATCCCCTAAACTCATTCTGTATGATGTCCTCTATGTTCCTTGTTTTAGAGTCAACCTAATATCAGTCACCAAACTCCTAAAAATTATTCCCTGTACCTTACAATTTTATGGTTCATTCTGTCACATTCAGGAAGCACACTCCCAGGTGAGGATTGGTATAGCTGAGCAAAAGGATGGGTTGTATATGATCAGTGGAAAGGCTGCCACAACTGTTTGCAAGACAGATTCAGAAAATGGTTCTAGTGCTATGAGTAGTTCTACTTTAAATAAGGATGTCTCTATTGTATGGCACCAACGATTAGGACATATATCAGACTCTGTAATGAAAGAGATGTCATTAAAATTTCCCTTTATCCCTTTTGTAAGTACACATCCATGTGATGCATGTCATTTTGCAAGACAAAGGCAGTTGCCTTTCTGTGACAGTAAAACACAATCTTTGAGAATTTTCCATTTAATACATGTTGATATTTGGGGACCCTACTCAGTTGCATCCATTGAAGGTCATAGATATTTTCTTACCATTGTTGATGACATGTCGAGATACACTTGGATTATCCTAATGAAATCTAAAAGTGAGACTAGAACACATTTACAACACTTTGTTGCATATGTCGAAAATCAGTTTCAACCTCACATAGGTTCAATTAGAAGTGATAATGGCAGTGAGTTCTTGATGTCTGAATTTTATCTACAAAAGGGAATAACACACCAACGTAGTTGTGTAGAGTGTCCTCAACAGAATGGAAGGGTGGAAAGAAAGTACCAACATATACTTAATGTGGCACGGGCACTGCTATTTCAGTCCAAGGTTCCTATACAATTGTGGAATTATGCTGTCACTCACTCTGTTCACTTGATAAACCGAACCTGTACCCCACTTCTTAATCATAAAACACCCTATGAGTTATTACATAACACACCCCCAATCCTAGCTCATCTAAAAGTGTTTGGTTGTCTGGCTTTTGCCTCAACTTTACATAATCATTATTTGAAGTTTTCTCCTAGGGCCAAAAAGACAGTATACCTTGGACATAAGGCTGGTATGAAAGGAAGTTTGTTATATGATGTTCATTCTCGAGAGATTTTTGTGTCAAGGAATGTGATATTTTATGAGAATCATTTTCCCTTCATTGAATCTACTTCTTCAAGCATTAATTCTGATATGTCATCTTCTCTTCAGAATCAAGTACCAGAGTTTGATGATTATCTCCCATCTGTTCAACCCATCCACCAACTACTATCCACACCAGAAACTCAAAACCAAATCCCACCAGAACCTGATCCACCAATTCCTCAGTCATCCACCCCTGCCCTTGTCTCACAGCCTGATTCTCTTTCACAAGTATCTCAATTCCCTACAACCCATGACACATCAGTGCCACAACTTCGTCGATCTACAAGGCTTACAGCACCTCCAAAGTATCTTGATCAATACTATTACAACCCATCCAGCTCTCAACATATCAGTACTTGCCAAGGTATGCCTTTCACTGCTTTTCCTAAGTACTCCATGACAAATTTTCTCTCATATAAAAATTGTTCACCATCATAAACACATTTCTGTCATACTGTTTCATCACATATTGAACCAAACACATAAAATCAAGCTGTCAAATCTGAGGATTGGCGCAAAGCCATGCAGTCTGAACTTCATGCTTTGGATCACAATAATACTTGGAAGCTCTAGTTTATCTTCCTCACGGTAAACAACTTATCGGCTGCAAGTGGGTTTATAAGATTAAATACCACTCCGATGGTTTAGTTGAGCGCTACAAAGCATGGCTAGTGGAAAAGGGATTTACCCAAGTAGAAGGTGAGGATTTCTTTGTTACATTTAGTCCTGTAGCCAAACTTGATTCAGTCTGTATCCTTCTTGCTGTTGCTACTTCCAAAGGATGGTTTCTACATCAGCTAGATGTTAACAACGCCTTTTTACATGGTGACCTTCATGAAGAAGTGTACATGATGCCACCACCTGGTCTTACTTTTGAGAAGCCTGGTCAAGTATGCCGGCTGCAAAAATCTCTATATGGCTTGTGTCAGGCTAGCAGGTAATGGCATGCCAAGTTATCATGTTTTCTCTTTTCGCTTGGATATAAACAAACCCAAGCTGATCATTCTGTTTTTGTCTTGAAGCGACAAAATTCATTCACTGTCTTATTAATATACGTGGATGACATTGTCCTCTGTGGCAATGATATGGATGAAATTGTTCGAGTTAAACAACTTCTTGATGGAAAATTCAAAATCAAAGACCTTGGGCAGCTTCGATATTTTCTAGGATTTTAGGTCTCTCATTCCTCACGTGGAATCATTCTTAATCAAAGAAAATATACTCTGGAGCTTATTTCTGATTCTGGTCTTACTACTGGCAAACCAGTTTCTACTCCTATGGAGGCTAACACCAAACTTTCCCGTGACACAGGGATTCCATTATCTGATCCTTCTCCCTATCGCAGATTAATTGGGAAACTTCTCTACTTGACCAACACAATACCGAATATATGCTTTGCAGTGCATCAGTTAAGCCAATATGTTTCTCCACCAACTGATCTTCATTTGGCTGCTATAAAACGCATTTTACGTTATCTGAAAGGTTCTCCTGGTTATGGTTTGTATTTTCCAGTAAATAATGATCTTAAGGTTCAGGCTTTTGTTGATTCGAATTGGGCCAATTGTCCTGATACAAGAAAATCAACTTCGAGTTTTTGCATTTTCTTGGGGTTTGCACTTGTTTGCTGGCACTCTGAGAAACAGACAACGGTGAGCAGATCTTCCTCTGAGGCTGAGTATAGAGCTCTTGGAGCTCCAATGGTTACAATTTCTATTTCAGGATCTTCATTTACCTTGGTCCCGCCCTGCTTCGGTCTTCTGTGACAGTCAATCTGCAGTTTATCTGGCTCATAATCCCACTTTCCATCAACGTTCTAAACACATTGAGATTGATTGCCATGTTACTCGTGGCAAGATTCAATCTGGATTACTTCATCTCCTCCCTATTAGTTCCGCTGCTCAACTCGCTGATTCCTTTACAAAGCCACTTCCTTCCACTGTTTTTCATCATGCTATGTCCAAGCTGGGGATGTATGATATATATCGTCCAGCTTGTGGGGGGTATTGGAGAATAAAGTGAGAGCTGCCACGTCAACAGCAGTTAGTTAGCAATGCTGTTATGATTGCCACGTCAGCTAAAGTCAGTTAGGAATATTGTTATTTTTTCTGTTGAATGTAATCGTTATTCTGTCGCTTCTGCTTCTGGTTTTGTACCTTTGTTTTCCATGTATAAATACTGGTGGTGTAATCCTCTGAGAGTAATGAAATAATACGAGGTATTACATTTCCATTACTAAGGATAATTTCTGCAAACATTATTCAAAAAATCTACGCAACATTTAAAGCTATTATCAATTGTTATGGACCCAACTCTTATCACGAAAACCGAAACTATTGGTTATTCTTTCTATCACCGTTCAATTATAAGTATCTCACTATTGGAGCACTTTTACTGTGAACCCGGGACATGATAGTCCGGTCCAAAAAAAGAAAATAAAAAGGATAGGGGCAGAAATATAAAAAAAAAGAGGGATATAAGAGTAATTTTTTTACCACAAAAAGAAAAGGACCACACATTTTTTTTATGCTCCGGGAGTGTATTAAAAAGATCCCAGAAATATTAAACTAGAAATTTGAGGTCTTAGAGACAAAGTGGAAGCACAGAGTACGGTTAAAGGGATTTCTAAAATTTGAAATACTTGAATCTTCCCACTTTGGAGCGAGTCGCCTATTTCTCTTGCAATCAAAATTCTAACCTATCACTAATGATGAGATCATTAATTGGAACACCAAAAAAATAAAATTGTAAGTTGATTTGATTTGCTAAAAATAAGAGACAATTTAGTACAAAAAAATTGTAATTTATTTGATTTCTATCGCTTTTATTAATTATACCATTATATTTATGTTCTCTCTGCATATATGCATCAAGCATATCTACGATTCGGATAGAAAGGGAAAATTCATTTAACAATTCCTGTATAAGAACCTTAAATTCATCCCAGTAAGTATAAAAAACGAGAAAAGTGTGTAATTTTAAAAAATGTAAAATTATATCATTTTAAGTGAGAGAAAGAAATAAATCATGAAAAAGTGAGAGTGAAAAAAAAAATAAAGGTGTTGGTGCCACACTCCCACCTCCTTATAAGAATAAAATGACACAATTTGTGTGATTTAAAAATACAAACATTTTTTTCATAAAAAGAAATATTGCAACATAGACTGCTTCAGTTTTTTTTTTTTTTCATTTCCTGATATGGTGTGATTTTGTGATTGTTACGTAATACACGTCATTTAGGATTCAGTGAGACGTTGACTCTGGGCTCTAATTTTAAGTCCAATTTAATACCATGTCATCTTGTTGACAGACAAACAAATAATTTAACTAGCATTAATATAACAAATATGATAGTGATTGGGCTTGCACAGTTGCACATGCCACGCCATTATCAATTATCATATATATTTTGCAACAACAAAAATTAATTTTGCAGGTGAACTGTCCCGGAAGTCTAAATTATGAAAGAAGATTCTAGTAAGCATCAGGCCTACCAGCGGCAAGTATAGTCTATGTGTTAGACTACAACTTGCTAATCGCAATCAAATTTAATTAAAGTTACAATTTAATTTATATTTTATCTTAAATCCAATATGTATACACACTCGATCAACCCTTTTTTTTTTTTTTATAAACCATTAGCAAAGTGGGCGGCTCTAATCCTTTTTTACACTTAACCATCTCGTCCCTTCCTGTTATCAACTTATCAAAAAATGAGTCAACCCGCCTCGCTCAGTAGTCGAGTCCGTTTTGCCGGCCCTAACCACAGGTATTCTCCACGGGGTGTGTTTAGGATTAAGGTTTTAAACCCCTCCCAAAGATGGTACTCGGAGAATCGAACACATACTCTCATCTACACCTGCTCAACTCTCATGCGCTAATTGACTGAACTACCATCACTTGATCACTCAATCACCTTGAGTAAGGATATGATCTGACAAATCTCACACAAAATATAAAGTCCCGTCCATGAATGGCTCAATAGACCAAACAATTAAGACTCAAGGGCTAAGAAACGCTTTTACCTCGCATCGATATCATCACGTAGGTATATAGAACAAAACCACACGATATCAACAACTTAGGACTCTATAGCCACACAACTTCAACAACTCAAAACTCTACAACCCCTCTAATAATCAATCGCTAAGGGACAAACACTTGGTTCCAAATACACCTATAAGGCGTAGCTCACAAATAAATATCTAGCAACCGATATAGCCTGCAAGAGCCACTTTTAACCACCAATGAGATTAAATGTCGTCATATTAAGACAGCATAAACAAAATAATTAACTAGTACATAATAGAGCCTCAAGCCAGGGTATGATCATCTAACTCATCTTAACTAAAGCTCATAGTTCATAGAAGGTATATATGCATGACAATGATTCGTTCTCCACCACTGTTTTTGAAAAGAAATAATTATTTTTTTATTTTTGTGCCTTAGAAGAGTTTTTGGGGGAAAATGTGTTTGATAACACATTTTTTTTATTCCGAAAAACAAAATTACGTTAATACAAACCTATTTCTTTACTTTATAAATAGTTACAAAGATTTCATTCGATGTGTAAAATAACCAAATTGCAATAGATACTTTAACTAAAATGCCAAAAATTCATATTTAACTAATAATAATAATTTCATGAAAATACTAAAGTATATAAAAATATAATATTTTAATACAATGAAAATAGTGAAACAAATATAATATTTTATCTCATGAAAATACTAAAATATATAAAAATACTACTCATTTGTAATACCGTATTATTGCCTTAATATTAATGAAACAAATGAATAGACAAATACATATATATAAATTGCATGATATCCAAATAATGTAAAGCAAAAACAATTGATACAAAACACATGATAAGTCTCCGATGTATTTTGAATATCTCACAATTCGTTGGCTAATAAAACAATATTATCAAATTGGGGGCAAATGTTTGTCTCTAGCTAACTGGTTTGCAATATTATTTTTTTAACAATGTTTATTTCGATTGCTTGATTTGGGAGCCCCTCTTCCACTATAGCTGCAATTGTGTGGGTTGTTGGTGAAACAAGAATGAGGGAGAGGAAGAGGAAAAGGAACAATGTTTTGAAGAGATGGAGTCACGGAGAGAAGAGAAGTTTACCTGATGGGTAGAAGACAACCTGGTTGGAAATAAAAGGAGGCAGAGGAGACACGTATCAGAGAGAGAAAAGACCCAAGTGTGGTGGCTCAGTTGGTAGCATGGGAGCTGCAGAGTGGTGGGAAAGGACCTCGGTTCGAATTCCACCAACACCATCTGGGAAGGGGCATAAGTACCGTAATCCTTGGACTCGCACCCGAACTCTGGATTAGTCCCATAGGCGGCTCAAAGAGTCGAACCCGTGGGGATACCAGGGGGTTCTGATTCGCCTCAAAGAGGTAATTAGGATCAGTTTTCAAAAAAAAAAAAAAGAGAATGAGAGAGAAGTGTTTCTTTTTGTGTGCCCTGGAATAAAAAAGCAGAAAAAAAGCTGCTTTGTTTTTTTATTTCCCAAAACAGAAATTAAACTGGTTCATTATTAGGAAAAAAAATAAATCGATTTTTTCAAACAGTGTTTATAACTATTTATGTTCCCCGAAATAAAAGTTTTAAAAAAATTGATTTCGCAAAGGTTGTCATGCGCATTACCGACTTGAGCGTCGGAGTGCCTAGCTTGCAGGTAGGGTTGGCAAAACGGGCCAACCCGGCTCGACCCGGCCCAACCCGCATTCAGCCCGAAAAAAATGAGTCGGGTCGGGTTGGCTCGAAAAAAAAAATGAGCCAGAAAACCCAACCCGGCTCGACCCGAGCCGGGTTAAGGTTGGCTCGCGGGTTGGCTCGATAATCAGCTCGCGGGTTGACTCGTAAAAAAGCTCACGGGTTGGCTCAAAAAAAGCTCGCGAGTTAGCTCGAAATGATGCTAGTGGGTTGGCTCGCGGGTTGGTTAGCTCAAAATATTGGCTCGCTGGTTGTCTCGCGGGTTGGCTCAAAAACTTTAATTTTTGTGGTTTGTTCTCCTGTATAAAATTATTGTATTTTGCAGTCCAACTACAAGTAGAGTAGTTTACAAAATCCAAAAACATTAAATGAAACACAAACCACTCCACGAATCACAGTAGTCATTTATCATGATTTTCTGAATTACTCTAACTCACGATAACCATAAAACGTATATAAAGCCAAAAAATAAAAAATAAAAGAAATCCATTATATATTTCAACGATAAGCATCTAGAATCAAAAGTCAATCATGAAAAAAAAGACCTGCAAAAGCGACCAATACAGTAAAGTCCATCAGTGGAGAATCCATCAGTAAAGTCCATTGTATTTTATTAAAAAAAAAAAAAAAAGAGTAACCCGCGAGCTGGCTCGTTCAACCCGCGAGCTGGCTCGTTTGAGCTCGGGTTGGCTCGGGTCGGGCTAAATCGAGCTGGCAGCTCATTTTTGCCAACCCAACCCGGCTCGTTTTGTGCGGGTTACGAGCCAACCCGACGGGTTGGCTCATTTTTGCCATCCCTACTTGCAGGTACTCCTCATATTTGTCCTAACCAATCAAGACATCTAGCATCAGAATCTCCACCTTACAGAGTAACTCGCAAAAGCATCTCGCAGAGTTATCGTCCTACAACACTCATTCCAGCAAAGACCCAGATAGCTAGCTACTGGACGAGGCTCAGCCACGTGTAATTTAACATAATTCTTATTGGATTAATGAGGACCTAAAGCTGGTTCCTCAATTGGAAAAAAAAAATATTTTAAACCAGAGATAAGATGAGATTATAATTCCCATAGACACTTTGTACGTAAAAATTTCTCCTTTTATTAATAAAAAACACGTATTAAGAAATCAAAAAATATTAAATATTAAATAAAAAGCCTTTAAGAATAGTTTAATGATGAGAGATTTGTATAATTTACATGAAATTAAAATTTTAAACCTTAATATCATTATTGTATTAAAAAATATGAAATAAAAGATAGGTATATAATAAGTGTTATTTTTGTTAATTAATTTTTACTACCTGGGAACATGTTAGCAAAAATATTTAGTTTTATTACATTATTAATATGACATCTAATAATTAATGTATTATTACATTACAACAATTTTGATATCGGAAATCATGCTCTCCTGCGACAGGAAAGCAAAAAAAGTTCCTGCAAAAAATTCGTTTTCCATGCCAATTATTTTTTTTCCTTTTTTAATATTAAGTGTGGGACTCATATTTAATTTGTCTCTACTTTTATTCTCTCTTGCTGTCCTGCAACATAAGAAAACATGAACCCTTTTGATATACCACAAAATTAAAATATAGAGCACATTACGACTTAGGAAACCGATTAATAATAGTTACGCTAGTAAAATGAGTAATGTAAGATCCGATAATAATAATAACAAGTTTTACATTAATAATTTATGAAAATTAAAGTAAAAAATAATAATATTAATATGCAGTTGGTGAGTTTATTTGATTTAGAGGTAATTTGGTTAGCGAATTTATCATGGGACAGACGTTTGTTAAAAAAATTGTCTTACCCACAACGGGAAAACCGGTCATTAAAATCCCCAACCAAACTTCCTCTGCTCAAGATTTTTGTTTATTTAATCTCCCACAGGTTCTAAGCTTCTATTGGATTTGGATCGATCCAGGCTTCTAAAAAAGGAAACCAAAAGATGAATATGGGTTGCATATACATTACATGGCTATTGTTAACCCATATTGTTATGTTGGTTGCAGAGGCTAAGAATGTCCCAGCCATCATAGTTTTTGGAGACTCATCTGTTGATTCTGGAAACAACAATCAGATAGCAACTGTTCTGAAGAGCAACTTCAGGCCTTACGGCCGTGACTTTGACGGTGGCCGCCCCACGGGACGGTTCTGCAATGGCCGTGTTCCACCAGACTTCATTGCCGAGGCTTTTGGTGTAAAACGCTATATACCAGCTTACTTGGATCCTGCGTATACCATCAAAGATTTTGCCACTGGTGTTTGCTTTGCTTCTGCTGGAACTGGATATGATAATGCAACTTCTGCTGTATTAGTATGTTTCTTTTCCCTTAATTTGTCCTTGACCTTTGACCTTAACTTTATATATTTATTTATTTTTTTTGAATATATAACACCTTAACCAAATAAACACTCAGTGAAATATGTCAGTAATTCAAGTTTGAGTTGAGAGTGGGGAGGCATATCAATTTATTTATTTATTTTGAACTTTTGTACTATCATAATTAAATTTGATTTCTAACATGTTTGCTCATACAATTTTTTTTTTTTAGCTTGCATGTACGTACAATACACAAATACATGACTTATGTTAAAATTTCACTTTTTATTAGAATAATGAAGCCATAAAGACTAACTCAAGATCACTTGGTCATAGACCATGTTAAGATCAATCAACTCTCTAAAAGTTTAAATTGTTAAATAAAGACACATGAATGATTTATATTATATTTTTAACATTAAATTTTGGGAGTGCATAAGAATATTTTCCTGTGAACTATAATTAATATGGGTTGTCAATTAATATCTCGCAGAATGTAATACCACTGTGGAAGGAATTAGAGTTGTACAAGGATTATCAAGCCAAATTAAGAGCCCATCTTGGTGTGGAAAAGGCAAATGAGATCTTAGGCGAGGCTTTGTACCTGATGAGCTTAGGAACCAATGATTTCCTTGAAAACTACTATTTGTTGCCAACCCGTAGAGCCCATTTCACGGTCACACAATATCAGGATTTTCTATTGGGTATTGCAGAGAATTTCATTAAAGAATTGTACGCACTTGGAGTCCGGAAATTATCCGTAACTGGTCTTATTCCCATGGGGTGTCTCCCATTAGAGAGGACTATAAACATTTTTGGTCATCATGGCTGCAATGAAGAATACAACGATGTCGCTTCGGGCTTTAATGTCAAGTTGGAGATTATGATATCAAAGCTAAATAGAGAGCTCCCACTGTTGACAGCACTCTCAGCAAATGCATTTCCCATCTTCAATGATGTCTTCAGAAGACCTTCCTCATACGGTATGTTTTTTTTTTTTTTTTTGTTCTTATATATGCATGGTTTTTTATGCTGCCCATTTCTTTGGCACTTGTTAATATATCGATATATATCCTATACTATTTTGTTTTTGCCATCAATGTTTCATGCTTAACGTAACGTAAAGTGGTACAATATTCAAGGATATATATATATATATATATATATATATAGTAAAAAACATCTCGCATTAACATTTTCTCTTTGTCTTTTGAATCTATGACATACATCATATTTTATATATGCTTTAATTTCGTATCTAACCTACAGTGCGAATAAATTGAAGACCTCATGTTCCAAGTAGAGTTAATTGCGTAATTAATGCTCCACACCTAACCAGGGAATACCGCTGGCTTCTGATTGAAACTAGCTTTTAAGTTATGATTGAACGTTGTTTATGAAATTCAACAACAAACCTTTTTTTTTTTTAAGAATAAGAAAATTATGAAATTTTGCTAATAAGTTTCCACATTTGATAAATGAATATAAACTAAAAAATTTAAATATTATTTTTTATTTTTAATATTTTTATGCATAAATATTTTATTTTTGTAAAATATTTTATATATATTCTTAATTTTTTAATCATTATCCTCAAGTCACTTGTGCAAAACAAAAATAATATCAATCAAACCTAGCTATACGAATATTGTACTCCCAAGCCATGTCCTGTAAGTGTTATAATGAGGTTTATTCATATTATTTTGGTTGAACTGATCCTTAGGCACTATTTTACCCAACATGTGATCTCTATAGCTACTTTTTGATAAGTTCGTTTAATATGTTTATCGTCCAATAAGTTCATTATTAATGTCATTTAAAGATTTTTACTTAATATCTAACGCACAAAATATTTACATTAATATATATTTTGTTGCTTCAATAAATACTGAAATTTTTAGCGTTGTTTTCACCTGAATTTTTATTTAACTTTGCAATTTTCCCTGTGTGAGACTTCCTTTAACCTTGTTCAGTTAATAATAATTAGGCTCTGGATATGAGGTTTCAACCTTGTTCAAGATGTAGGCCTGCACTAGACACAGAGGCTAGAGCCCGTTTGTTTCGTCTTTAAAACAAAAAGTAACTTTTTTTTTTTAAAGTATTTTTTACAAAAATTAAAGTTATTTTTATTTTTATAAAATATTTAATTTTTGAAAAAAATATTTGACTTTTGACTCATGTTTTTTTTTTAAAAGTTAAATTTTTTAGCTTCTACAAAAAGTAAATTTTTAACTTTTTTTTTGACTTCTGCTTTTTTCAAAAGTAGACATTCAAACGAATTTAAAATGAAAAGTATTTTTTTTTTTTTTTTAAAAAAAACTTTTGAAGAAGAAAAATCTCATACAAACAGGCCTATAGGCTATAATTATATGGTGGAGGTGACCTATGAGAGCGACAACTCCCTGACTGAAGTTTTTGGGCCTTAAATCTTCAGTCCCATTTTCGTGGTCCTTTTCCTATGCTTTTAATTAAAGGATTTAGTTCATATTAAAATATTTAAAATTTAAAATATTAAATGATTAGTATAAGTATTTAATATTTTAAAAATATTATTAATTATTTTTTACACAATACACGTTAGAATATTTTAATTAGATAGTGATAACTTGAAAAAGAAAACTAAAAAGTTATGGAGAAGGATATTGTGACAACGAAGTTGTGTTACTACCAAGTGACTACCAATCAATCTTACCGTTAGATCGATTATGTGGATCCAACGGTTATATTTATTTCCATATTTGTATGGTCATGATTTAATACTTTATATTTATTTTCACTTTTGTATGGTTATGATTTCTCATATTTAATGCTTTCACTTTAAATACGGGGAATCATGAGCATACAAAGATAGAAATAAATATAACCGTTGGATCAACATAATCGATTTAATAGTGAAATTGATTGGTAGTTACTTGATAGTAACACAACTTGATTGTCACAATATCATTCCTTAGTAGTTATAGCCAATAGAAATAGTGTATTATTGTTTTTGTTTGTCATCTGAATTTAATTAGAAAAAAGGAACTGACACATGCATAAAAAAGGGACAGAAACATAAGATTTAATTTTGAATATTTTTATGGTACCGAATCTCGTCTTGTACCTTTTGTGCTTTAAAGTTGCTGGTTGAAATTCATGATAGTGGCCAACAAGGACCTTTTTTAGGTTTGCTTTTACTTCTTATCATTAATACTAATTTATGGAGGCTAGCTCTAACACAAAAGCAACAGTGTATAATGCAGCTACCAACAAGAATGGTGAATTTTTAACTTTGCATCCAGATTCACACAACCTATATATAGAGTTTTGCTATATTTTTAAAATATCATTTTAATAATATTCTTAGTAGATTAGTTAATGACTACTATAAAAAAAACGTTAGTGAAAAAAACAAATTAAAAGTAGAGAAAGAATAAAATGAAAAGTATAATCATTATATATTAGGAAAAAATGTTTGTCTTTTTAAAAGGATAGTTATTTTAATTAAAATTATTATTATTTATTTAATATTTAAATTAAAAAAAAAACCCTTATACTTTCTCTCATCATGACTTCTGTTTCTTTTACTGTAAAACTCAGTAATTTTAATTAAGGGAAAAGTGTCTATACTTTTAAATTACACAACTTACATCTTTTCACTCTCACAAAGAGGTGGGACCCACAACTTTATTTTTTTTGTCAACTCTCTCTCCTCCTTTATCTATATCTTTCTCTCTCTTAAAATGACACAGTTTTACATCCTTCAAAATTATACACACTTTTCCCTTTAATTAAAATGACATAATTTTATGTGATAAAAACAATTAATGCTTTTTTTGAATAATTAAAAGTGTGCAGTATAATTTTACAACAAAAAAAAGATTCTATATGAGGTATTAAATGTTCTTAAACTAAAGTCCTTAGGTCACTTCTTAGCCAAACTTATATGATAAAAATAGTGTTAATTACAAAAATAGATATGTTTTAATATTTTAGAAATATAAAAAACAAACATTTACTGAATAATTATATGTCATCCTCACTAATTATCCTAATAAACTTCCTAATATCGTGGATACACAATATTGTTCGTCCATAATGTATTCCTATAAGATTGTGAGTTATGGTAAAATAATGTGATCTTGGTAAAATGATGTTACAGAGTTGATAATTTTCAGAAAGACAAATATTATACATATTTTTAGAAAAGTGAAAAGGTTATGAAGTTAATGTGAAGGACTGGAGTTGTTTGCAACGAGTTACTATGAAGAGTTTTCATAGCATCATCCAACTATGTATCACGTAACAAGGGATATGAAGAAGAGATAGATAGATATTTAGAGAGAAGAGGGAAGTTAGAGGAAATATTTTGCACCCCTTCTGCCATGCCCTATGGGCTATTTTTAACAAACTCCAAATTCAGTTACATACTTGAAAATATAATTGCAAGAAATTCAATTAAAATAAAAGAATTAAAATTGCTGAAGTTTGGTCTGTCTCTGCATTCCTAGCCCATTATATAATCTTGGAAGTGAATGGGCTATTTCACCCTCCTTTTTCTCTTTAAGTCCAGTATTCTGATCCAATAGCCCGGTAGTTGGGTTGGATCGATGAGGAGGCCCGCTTTATATTATCAAATTATTTAAAAAAAAAAAAAAAAACTAGACTAGACTAGAGTTACATAAAAAGTCTAACTTTTTTCGACACATCATCACATAAAAAACTTTATTTGACAATGCATGAATTTTTATTTTTTTGGGTAAATACAATGCATGAAATTTAAACTATCAAAGAAAAGCATAGGGAATCAAATTGGACACCTCTTTTTAGAGACTGATTGTAATATTATACTTGCTTATGCCACAGAATATAGTTTTACTAGATCTATTCTGCTTAGAAATTTCACTTATTTATCTATATGATAATATCAATTACTTTCTGGTCCTCATTATGCATGCAGAAGCACAAGAACTATACTATGTGTTGTTTTTACGAAGTTGATTTCCTGGAATAATTTATGCTTTTTGTTGTCAAGTCAATTTTCCAAGTTTATGTAACTTTTTTGCTGCTCATTTAGTTTACATAAATTTCTTGGGTTAATTCAATTTGAAAATTTTACAAGCAAAAATAGATAAAAATTTGAGCTTCATATGGATATATTTCAGGATTTGAGGTTGTAGAAAAGGCATGTTGTTCCACTGGAACATTTGAGATGAGTTACTTGTGCAGTGAGAAGAATCCACTTACATGCAAAGACGCTAGCAAATACGTGTTTTGGGATGCCTTCCACCCTACCGAGAAGACAAACCGCATAGTCTCGAATTATTTAATTCCAACGCTTCTAGCTACCTTTAAATAGATGATCATGATCCACTATTTTCCTTTCAAAAGATATTATTTTTATCTAGGGTGACGTAAATATATAGCGAGATTTAGAATCGGGTATATTGCCATGCTATATATGTATATGTTTTCTAATGTTCGAATTTTTTTCACAAATAAACAACTCTAGAACTCTGAACCATGCATGTCGTCAAGTAGACGACATTGGACCTCTGTATGTTGCTCTCCTTTGCATGTTACTGTGCTTGGGTTTTAGTTTCCATTGATTTCTTGGACGACAATTTCAGCTTTGCATTTTGACGTGATTTTATATATATCATCAACTTTTATAGTGTTGGGGCTTTTATTTTATATAAAGAGAGTGTATGTATATACATGGATAATTAGTGTAAAGTAATTTAAAACAATTAGTTTTGAAAGATCTGCTTTAAGAAAATCAAGTATTTAACTAAAAGTAATTTGTTGTGGATTACTTTTATTTACATAATAATGAATAATTTACTTTTTGAGTATTAGATTGCAAAGATAATACCCAACATAACCATTGATATCATGATAGAGTGCAGCCACAGCATCTACTCAAGTTTTTACACCTCTGCTAGAATAAATAAGTCATCAAACGTTAATAATATATAGAGAGAGAGTTTTATATATGTCATGTTGTAGGAAACTTGTAGTATAGAAAACTTGTAGTATCATGTTACTCTCACAAAAAATGATGGTCCACCTTGTTTTCTTTTTTCTTCTTTCTTTTTGAGTGAGACCCACGTCAAATATATTAAAGTAACATGACACTACAAATTTTCTACAACATGACATATATAAAATCTATATATATATATATATATATATATATATGAGCTTATCGTTTCTCAAGTCACTTAAGATAACTTTGGGTATGTTTGAAAGTGTTTTTGTTTTTTTGTTTTCAAAAATAATTTTAAAAACTGATTTTGGGAGTAAAAAAACAAAAAAAATTGTTTGAGTGTAGTTAAACTAAAGTTATAAAGAAGTTGTAATTATTTATAGAAATACCATTAATAAAGTTTTAGAATTACAAGAATGTTAGATTGTTTTGAGTCCTCATATTTATGAAATTGTCACCGTCAAAACAAAATAAAAAATCAAAAAACAGCTTTGGAAAACATCCGCAGTTGTTTTGGTTTCTGAGTTTTTAAAACTGAAAAACAATCGTTGTTTTGGAAATCATTTTGCAAAACAATCATTTTCAAACAGATTTTTTACTTTTTTGTTTTAAAAACATATAAACTGTTTTTGAGAATAGGAATCAAATAGAGTCTTTATCTTCGGCCACTAAAATTGTATAAAGATCAATTAATGGTTATAAAGAAAAAGAAAAAGAAAATAAAAATCATAACCCTTCAAAAGTGAATCAATTAATATAAAAAATAAATATATTTCAAGTGACTTGAGAAATCTCTCTCTCTCTCTCTCTCTATATATATATATATATATATATATATATATATATATATATGGGTAAAACTAATCTTTTGTTGCATAAAATAGTATATCTCATGTTGTGAAACAAAATCAAGGTTCCCCCACTAAAAAATAAAAAAAAATAAAAATCGGACCCACCTTAATTTTGTTACACAACATGAGATTAGTTTTACCCTAATATATATATATATATATATATATATATATATATATATATATATATATATTTAGGAAATACTACTTTCATTTTATATGAGGTAGTTATCTCATGTTCTCTCAATTATAATTTTTGATTTTAAAAATAAAACACTTAATAGATAAATGTTTAAAGAAAAACACAAAAACTCTAATTTTCTTGTACCCACTAAACTATTTACTAAATTTAACCCACCACACAAAAAGGAAAAAAAGATACACTAATACATCACGTCGGCTCTTTGACCAATTGGGGTTTTTTGTGATTTTAATTTACCAATTTAGTATTTGGTTCAAGGTATTTACGAATGGAGGTCATTTAGTGACGCGAGGGGGACCCAGCGTCACTGAGTGCCGCTACCAACCCCCCGCGCCACTCATATTTTTTTTTTTTACTTTTTCCTATTGAGTGTCGCCCCCCTCCCCCGGGGCACTCACAGAATTGTGCCAAGTGGCACAATCTGGTTACTCCTATTACCGTAAAACTTCGGAAAGCCATAACTTTTGACTCGGGTATCCAAATCAGATGATTTTTTTTTTGATTTCACATAACTTTTCGAGATCTACGCAATGACATCTCATTTAACATATTTATCTCTCACAAACATAATTCAAATCTGTAAAAAAGTGTAATTAGTGTTGCAAATTTGAACTATATTAATGAAAGGTAAAATATATCAAATGAGGTGTCATTGGGTAGATCTCGAAAAGTTATGTTAAATAAAAAAAAAATCATTTGATTTGAATACCCGAGTCAAAAGTTATGACTTTCCGAAGTTTTACGGTAATAGGAGTAACCAGATTGTGCCACTTGGCCCAATTTTGTGAGTGCCTCAGGGGAGGGGGCGGCACTCAATAGAAAAAAATAAAAATAAAAATAAAAAAGTTGTGAGTGACGCGGGGGGTTGGTAGCGGCACTCAGTGACGCTGGACTCCCCTCACGTCACTAAATGACTCCCGTTCGTAGATACCTTGAACATATACCAAATTGGTAAATTAAAGGAATAAAAACCCCTAATAGGTGAAAGAACCACATCACGCCCCTTCATTTTTCCACCTTTATTATACATAAAATAGTTATTCTAATAAATTTCACATAAACTACAAATATCACCAAATTTTTAACATTGCAAATTGGTCATTAAAAAGCCAACATCACTAAAAATTATCTTATGACTCTATCATTCATATTATATTGTTTATTATATATTATCTCTTAATATGCAAGAAACACACCCCAATAACTTAGGTAGAAAGGAAAATTCATTTAAATATTCATGCAAAAACCTTAAAATTATTTTGTAAGTACAAAAAAGAATTGTGCAACATACATTATTACAATTTATTGTTTTTTCACTTCATTGTATGAGATGATTTTTCTTTTTTCTTTTTTTAAGGTTGTCTATAATGCCCGACCACTTATTGTTCTTGCAAATCAACACAAGACTTTCCACATGTTTTATCATTACTCACACACTTTCTGATAAACTTTCCAGTATGTCATCCATCCCATAATTGTTTAAAGTCAAGCACGGTTAACTATAGAGTTATTAAGTTATGAGATTCTAAAAAGTAGATGCATCTTATTAGTATAGATAGTACATATTATTTCCTTTAACCTATCTTCAACTGTACAATCTCATACCTGCACAGCCTCTGGATCCTATGTATCATCTCTTTTTTGTTCCGACGATCACTCCTTACCCTCGTCAGCACTTAAGATGTTACATGTCCACCAACTTCTGCTTGGTTCTGTTGCAACTGAATAGCGACGTAATGGCAAAAAGTATTAAAGATTAAAAACAATGGAGTCGCCACCAAGGTTTACTTGAAAAAATATTGGAAAAATCTTTTTTGTTTGAGAAAATTGGTCTTCAAAAACAGATTTGGTTTCAGGAGTCGATTACAAATAGGGAATGTATTGGCATCCTACACCGTTCGTTTTACAAAAAAGGCTACCTTATATTAATGGTGCACATTATTAATAAGATTTTGAATATTTATTTCACCCCAAAGAATTAAAAAAATTAATTAAACAAAAGAAAACTAATTTTCAAAAATTTGTTTTGAGTTTCAGTGCAATAGGGAATTCAAAATTACGTCGTTCCATAGAAAATATCTTTGTGTTGCTTGATTTTATTTTTGAAAATTACTTTGAGAAATATTATTAATTACTTTGAGAATGAATCAATCATTGCTTAGAATTTAAGATAGCATAGCTATACACAGTGCCGGACCCAGAATTTTTTATAGTGGGGGGCGAAAAGTACATACAATCGTATATGAACCTAATATAAAAAGTTTGAAAGAGTTTAATTACAAAATTCAAGGTCAATTCACTTAACTCTTGCTCTACGTTTTTTCATATTATTAAACTCTTCTATAATTGAAATTTGAATTTGTGCTAAAATTCAAAAAATTTCTTTTTCGATATATGTAATCAAAGAATCATAAAAAAATTGGTCTTCCATTTGATTTCGAAGTCTGGTCATGATTATTTTCATGGCAAATAAAGCTCTTTCAGTAGTTGCCATAAAAACTGTGATAGTGAGTACAAGTCTAATCACTCTATCAATAAGAGGATAAATAAATAATTTTCCAGATGTGCCCGATTTCGAATTTTTCATTAGGCCCTAAAAGTTTGCTACTTCATTTGTAGAAATTGCAATTTCAATCTCTAAGTTTTGTGTTTGTTTATGTTTTTTTTTATCTTTTAGCCCAATTACTTAATTTTTTAGTCCAAATTTAATTTTTTTATCCCAAATTATATATATATATATATATATATATATATATATATATTAAAAAGAATCTAAAAATCAGTGAGGGGCGGTGGCCAACCCTAGCCCCTCCCCTGGATCCGCCTCTAGCCAGTGGCGGACCCAGAAAATTTTCTTTATGTCTGCACACTTATAAAGAGGCTTCGAAGGCCTCAGATTCTTTTTTTAAAGATCATGATCCAATTTTTTCTTCCACTTCAAAATTAAAGATTTGGTGAATCCACGAAAGTTTTAAGAAAATAATCGATATTGATAATTAAAAAAAAAAACACCACAAAAAGACATTTGTACGATATAGTATAATTGTAGGGGTTAATCGATCAAAAATCCACCTTTGTAGATGTCTATTTGTTTCAAAGTTGGCCACTTTTGTTTCACAAAAAAAGTGAAAAATCCCGTGCGATTCTCCTCCACCTGATGAAGATTGAATTTCAGGAATCGTTGATATCTATTAAGATTTGGAACTAGTAAGATTTATGTAAAAAAGAAGAAGAGACAAAGCAATGGGCTAAGATTTAAGTTTTAAGCTTTTAATTGTAGGGGTTGGTTGGGTTAGGCATATCTTTACCTTTTTCCT